CTCTACCTGATGAACTTCAGCAATCCTAACATGATGGTGCAGAAGGTAAGGGGGTGGTGGATGGAGGGGAGTGGGCAGCACAGGAATGGCGATTGAGAGGATTGCATCTCCTCAACTCTTGCAACATAAGGAAAAGATTAAATGAATCTTTGTGGTCCAGGAGGACTCAGAGGAGCTCAGTGCAAGGCAGGCAGGAGGTTTGCTCTCAGCTGGCAGCAATGTGGGTAAAGTTTGCCTGGTACAAGGAAGGGCACAAGTGTGGAGCGATCTTTTGGGCAAAGGTCACAACATGATAGACACTGTGGGTGCAGTCGCAGTTCTAGGAGTCCTGTATTTCTGACTTGAGTCTGGAAGGGAGTGAAGCAAAAGCTGGTAGAACATAGGACAGAAAAATCATACCTGGACAGTTTCACTTGATTAACAGCAATTCCTAATCAGTGGTTCAGTAAAGAGGAAAGAATAGAGACCATACACAGTGTCTGGTTTTCAGCTGGGATAGTTGATTTTCTTCCTAGTACCATCTACAGTGCTGTATTTTGTATTTAGTAGGAGAATGTTGATAGCATGCTGATGCTTTAGTTGTTGCTAATTAGTGCATAACCTAACTCAATGACTTTTCAGTTTCCCTTGCTCATCATGGAAGCAGGTGCTCAGAAGATGGGAGGGAGCATGGCCAGCACAGCTGACCTCAACTAGCCAAAGGGATATTCTGTAGCATAGACCATCATGCTCAGAATATAAATGGGCAGGAGTTGGCAAAAAGGGACAGGTCATGGATTGGGGTCTAGCTTGGCATCAGTTCGGGAGTGGTGAGCAATTGCATTTTGCATCCCTCATCCTTCTGGGCTTCTATTTCTTTCTGTCTTTCATTACTATCATTAGTAGTAGTAGTATTACTCTTATTATATTTCACTTTTTTTCTCTTTCTGATTCTCCTGCCCATCGCACCGGGGTGGAGTGGGAGCAGTGAGCAAGCAGCTGCCTGGTGCTTAGTTGCCACCTGGGGTTGAACCATGCCATGCTGCCAAGCAGACACTGGTGCAAACACCCCGGCTGCCCTCCTGCTCCCAGCTTCCCTGCTTATCACCCATGTTCCTGACAGGCCTCTCCCTGTCCCAGCAAACACCTTCATGGCAAATGAAACCCCTGTTATTTATTTCTTTCTGTCCCAGCTGACTGAAAAATACGGGGACATCTTCAGCTTACGTACGGGCAGTTTATCATTTGTGCTAATAAGCGGGCTGCGCATGGTCAAGGAAGTTCTTGTGAATCAAGGGGAAAACTTCATGGATCGCCCTGAGTTTCCACTCGATAAGGAGATCTTCAGCAGTATGGGTGAGTCCTCCCACAGGACACATTTCTCAGCTGTAAAGTCAACATGTTGGCCCTGCAGAGCTCTGAGACAGCTGGAGATAGGGCAAAGCCCTGGAGCTCTTTCCCCTCCGAGGAGGGATCTGCCTTGGCTCAGATGGGGTATTTCTGACAGGACTTGTCACCTCCAATGGGCACTTGTGGAAGCCTCCAATGGGTACTGCTGGAAGCAACAGAGGAGGTTCACCTTGCCCACCCTCCGAAACTTTGGCCTGGGGAAGAGGGGCCTGGAGGAACGCATCCAGGAGGAGTGCCGATGCCTCGTGGAGGTGTTTGGGGATGAGCAGGGTGAGTGCCACCGCCCTCTGAAGCTGTGCTGTAGGCAGGAACCTGTATGGCCCATCATAATTTCACCCATGATTCACTGCATGCTGAAAGATATCTCATCTTACCAGCATGTCTAGCACCCTGCCAGCATCCCACCTGCCGTTTACAGCTGTTCTATCTTCAAACTTCAGTGAGTGCAGCTAGGTAACCCCCTAAGCATTATTTCTAGTGCACCTTCAGCCTGCAGCACTCATGGGGACCTATGAAAATTCCCATGTGTTTCCAAACACCCGTATTTCCATTGAGTTCAGATGACACCCGGTCTCCTGAAGACCTTTTTTCCGAAGTAAATACCTTTTTCCACTTCGATTTGTTAAATATTTCCCCTCTGACTACTGTGTTTTCTTCTCCTTTTCCGTGAAGACTGGAAGAAAATTGATCGTTGTTTTTTCCTTCTCCAGGGAATCCTTTCAACCCACAGTTGACAATCAGTAATGCTGTTTCAAACATCATCTGCTCTGTCATCTTTGGCAATCGGTTTGACTACCATGATGAGGACTTCCAGAAACTGCTGAAGCTGCTGGATGACACAATTAGGCTTCATGGGGCAATCACGAGCCAGGTACAGCCCTCCTGCCACCAGTGCAGATGGTGTGTGGGGCCATAGTTTCTTCTCTGGTGTCAACCACAGATCCTATAATACTCATCATCAAACTTTGTTGACATTCCCTCTCCCTTTGCACAGGCTGGGTTTGGCCATGATTCCTTTCTGCCTTAGTTTCACACTGTGCAATGCTCACGTTGATCTCTCACCCAACATCACCTCCCCCTGTCCAGTAATTACCACCCTGCCTGCTGCAACACCGAGCAATGCATGAGTCACTTCCTATATATGAAGATCAATCCCTGAGAACACTCTTCTGAGGCTGAGCTCATTCCACCAACTCCAGCATTTTGTGAGCATGGCATTGCTGGCTCCTCAGGTCTTGGCAAGAGAAGTGTCCCGGTTAGAAGGCAGAATTGTGTCCCACCTCCCTTATCCCTCAGTTTCCCAGATAGAGAGGTAAATAAGGAAGGCAAGGGTAATGAAAACCTTGCACCAAATTGAAAATTAACAAAATGAAATATATTATTTAACAGGGAACAGAAAAGAAGAAGGGTAGGGGTTTAAATAGGGTACAGAAAGGAAAAACGGTAGGGGTTTAACAGGGTAAGGGGGGTTGTAGGAACAACAAGGCAAGGAAGATTAAACTTCCAAATATACAAAACCCAAATGTTGTGCTGAGGCTCCCCAGTGCTGGATCTCGCTGGATTGAGGTGGTTTGAAGCTGGATGCACAATCCTTGGACGTGGATGGAGGCAGGGAAGAGTCTG